AGTTGGGAATGGAGAGTTGGGAATGGAGAGTTGGGAATGGAGAGTTGGGAATGGAGAGTTGGGAATGGAGAGTTGGGAATGGAGAGTTGGGAATGAACGGTGTGAGAGGGTATTGTTGGTGGAAACTACAAGTCAGGATCATCATTGACGATCAAAACGAGTGTCGAAATCATCTCATGAGATGGGAAATTTCCTTTGACGACTCGTTCACGCCGTGTCACTGGAATTGACAAAGCTGTCTCGACAAACTACGGGAGATGGTGCTGGAATTGAAGATGTAAAGTATAAAGGCAAGCAAGCACATGCATGTGCGTGGAAGGAAGATGGCGTGGAAAAAGATCAGCTAGTAGAAGTGCAAAACATCCTGACAAAAAAACAATGACCTTCAAAAAAAGAGAACCTGGATGCGGCCGGACTTGAACCGGCATCTTTCGCTCCCCAATGAGTCCGTCCTTGCGGCAAGCATCTGTAGCCGAGTAACAGAAGTCGCAAGCAGCTTTGGTATTTCCCTTCCCACACATCTCCCCGGGGTATAGAAGGTGGGTATGTCGGGAAACCACCCGTTCTTCCCATCCAGCGACCAAGGAGAAACGAAACCGGAGGCGCAGTGCTCAGGAATCGAACCCTCAGCCCGCTGGCGGGTTGACGCCCGGGTGTAACCCAATGGGAAGAGAATGTCTTACCAATTGGACCACGCACCCTTGCAGGTTGGTTCTGTATTCGTTGGAAGTAGGCACTGGGTTTGTAACCTATAAAGGGAGGACAGTAGGGTGGGAACCTTGACGGCCACAGTTGCGGCCAATGACAGTAGATGAGGGCGGGCTGTCGAGGTTCGTTCATGAAGGTCCTCCCGTAACGTCGAGTATTCTTTGCCGAGTCGACGAGTCTGTAATACCTTCAAGCTGAGGACGTCTCGACCACCATGCCTAACAGCAATCCCATGATGACTTATTCAATCACAACAACAACCATCACCATGACAACCACAGCACCCACAGCATCCACGAGATCCAACTTGAGAATAGAAACCTGATGATTCCACTCAAGAACTTCAATTCCAACATTACTCCTACACATCCATGACCCCAACGCCTATATTCATAGAAGCCCCAGTTGGAATAAAAAGGGCGTCCATAATTAAACTTACAACAACAGTAACAACCGCACTATCAACCCTCCACCTTCTCCTCCGGCGACGGAGGTCCCCGATAATGATCAGCAAACTCAAACGAATAAGGCTTGCCAGTTTTGAATATCAAATGCGGCTTCCTCTTTGCCAGATTCAAGATGGTCTCTGCAAACACACCGTTCGCCCAAGCAAACCAACTCCCTATTTATCAGTCAGTATTTCCGCATCCCAACTGCCCCCACTCAAGATAAACACTCACTTGTATACGCAATGCTCCAATTCACATCAACACTCTCATGCACCAATCCCAACTTTGCGCTGCCCAACACGTACTTTAAACATCTCAGAATCTCCTCATCATCATCTGAAGTCTGAGCCTGCACCAGCAAACTCATAGGCCAAGCATTCTGCAATCCAATATGCGGTCCACCAATACCCTGGAACTCTTTTCCCTTTAGATAATAAGGGTTCCCTTCCTTCTCCAATAACATCTTCCGGGTATTCTGATACGTCTCATCTTTTGCGTCCAAAAATCCCATCAGAGGCAAAGCCAACAAGCTCGGATAATTGGCGTCGTCCATCATCAGATTACTACCGTACCCGTCGACTTCGTAAGCAAATACTTTGCCATACTTGCGGTGAGTGATAACTCCGTGCTCCCAGATTCCGTCGCTAATTTTCTTGCTTCTGGCTTCTAATTCCCTTGCCAGTTCCAAGTCGGCTGATTTACCTGTTGCTTTCAGAATCGCAGCTGTTCGTTTCAACTCGACAGACATTTGAGCGTTGGCGGGAATGAAGAACCCAAAGATTGTTGCGTCGTCGCTTGGTCTGAAAGCGGAGCGAATCAAACCGGTGCCGTTGTTTAAGGGGTTGCCCATTCCCTGGAGATTCAGAGTTTCGGTGCCGGTGTTCGTGCGGCGTTGGAAGGAGTACTCGTTAGCCATCCACCTGCCTGTTTCCGAGTCAAATGTGCTTTTTGCTTGAGAGTCTAAGACGTTGAGTAGACTTGAGAGAGCTTGGCGCCAGCGGGGATTATTGACAAAGTCTTTGCTTTCGGTGTGTTTGTAGAACTCATTGCCGAGAGCGAGGAAGTGCGCCAGGGAGTCGAGTTCGTACTTGCACTCAAACACCACATTTGGTTCGTAGATAGGGTGTACTACGTCGTCCTGACCGTTCATGCTGACTGGAAGTCCTGATATTGGTGGAGGCTGGAAGGCATTGCAATAGGGAGATTGGATCACGTATTCGGCTTGGGTGTTGATTGCTCCCAGGATGAGGGTGTAGATTGCTGGGTCCTTCGTCGCTAATGCCTGGTACGGTTTGAGCTGGTTGGTACTGTCTCGTAGCCATTCCGCCAGGATGTCGCCTGTGATAATGAAGGACTGAGGACCTTCCCATTCTCCGTCTTCTACCCAGACCTCTCGGTCTTTGCGGTCGCGTAGTTTCTGTTTGATCTTTTCGTCCTTGCCGTCAGTGTGGAAACGGATTGTGGTATCGGTTGTAGAGGGGAACGCGTTCTCGAAAAGGCGGGCTAGGTCGGGGTCTTTCATCCGAGCGGTGATATCTTGGATCACTTTCTCTATTGCGTCTGAATGGAAGGTTCGGCATCGACGGTCGGGTCTTTGGTAGGGGAGCTCTAGTGGTCCTTTGCTGTATGGACGGCTTGGGAGTTGATTAGCTTGTGGGCTCTTGACTTGCTGAAGTTATAAATCGGGTATACTTACTGGGCATATTGGGAGTATGTCGCATAGTCTGGACAAGCCGCGGGATCGAACTTGTTGCTGGCCAATGGCTCCTGGTCTGCGCCGCCGTAGCCCAAGGTTGCTGCTGCTGGCGCATACTCAAATGCCAGCAGCGGCAAGAGGAGAGAGTGCCAGGCAGACCTCCCCATCGTATGCGTTCTCGTTCAATAGCTTTCGCGATGCTCGTTTACACTTGCTGCTGTGTTGGGTCTAGGTACTCTGTAAAAGTGTGATTCTGGAGGGGCAATGGGGACAGGGAAATACTGGAATGCTGGTTCAAATCCGATCTCGGAGCATCGCCAACGAAGAAAGACGCCGGGAACAGGTTATGGAAGAGGTACAGATGACAACGGAAGCTAGAACATCAATTCAATGACTATGTAGAATTGAATTGAACATCTGTTTATTCCATGTCAAGCAACGACGTTACACGGCTGGCGGAGGCACAGCGGATAAGATAAGCTTCCCGCTCACGCCAAGCAAGTACAAAACTTGGCGCAGATCGTCAACTGCGGGGGATGATCCACAGTGTCCGGCTGCCTTCATTTGCGCACTGGGACACTCCTTGTTGACCACTATCAAGGTCAGGGGAGCATAAGAATGTATCATTACTAACTTGGATCTGAAGCAGATGGGACACTTTATTATGTCTTCTTGCTAAAGAAGGACATGATGTTTCCCTGGCCTTTGGCTGCGCCACCCTTCTTACCCTTGGCAGCCGGCGCGGGAGCAGCAACCTTGGGTTTAGTGACAAGGCGAGGCGCCTCCTCTTCTGAGAACGACTCCCAGCCCGC